TCCTGTAGGGTCCATGACCTCACTAACCATTAGTAGTTGGGTTGGTCTACAATGGCAGGCATGAGTTCCTTTCTATTTAACAGGCTTTGAATCCAGTTGTTGACTATTGCCTATTTTTAAGTTACTTAAAAGCAGTAACATTTCAATTTGAGAATTAGATGGGTGGTATTGTCTATCCTCATTGTCTTGTGTGTTAACTGCTGACATATTTCCCTAACACAAGGAGACCAATTAAAGTAATTGACATTCTGCAAATTTAAATCAATAATGTTGCTCACTAACTCTAATCAACCAAAGTAAAGAAATTTAGTTCTTTTCTCAGAGCCAGAGTGGCAAATGTCAAAACAGCTGTCCCATCATGGCCTTGTAAATCAATTCTCAATTACAAGAAAAAAGGAGGGAAGATTTTATTATGTTCAGGCTCATAACTTATAAGGTAAATGGACACCAGGCAGTGGTGGCGCACCCCTTTAATCCCAGCACTCGGGAGGGAGAGGCGGGTGGATCTCTGTGAGTTTGAGGCCAGCCTGGTCTATAGAGCAAGATTCAGGATAGGCACCAAAACTACACAGAGAAACCCTGTCGGAAGAAAAAAAAAAGGTAAATGGACAAAATATACTAAAATAATTATCAAATGGCATCTTCTCAAGTGGGGAACGCTAACACACTTAGAAACGTTTTTGCTGGTGTGAGAACTAGAATAAGAAGCCATCATTGGGATTAAACTGTCAGACAACAGTTTATGCCCTGTTTAATCCATTGTTTTGAACATGGACTGCAAGTAGAACTCTCTTTCCAGGGCTCTGGGGATGTTCACATCTGTCCTCACCTATGTTGCAGACATGTCAAGGAAACTACTGAAACCAAATTCAGGGTGCCATAGGATTCCTTGAGGACAGTGGAGGTGAGTGTCTAGTACACATTCTTATTTAAAAGTCAATGAAAAATTTTCAACTGCACAGGAATTAAATAAGAAATTTAATGGTGATTGGTTAGTGGGTCAATTGTCCCAGTGAAAGAAAACACAGGGAAAATGATTTTAATTGTACCCTTTACATATCATGAGATCTTGCCTTAATTTTGGTCAGAACAAAATGGATCTGCTGGTTTATTATTATTTTTTGTTTGCTTCCTTTTATTCAAATGGGTCACACCCTTCTGGTTTTGAGAAATTCAAGCTATCTCTTAGACTATACCTGAACCCCTGATATAGGGCACCCATGGGGCAGCCTGGGTCCTCATGGTCCAGTTTGCCTGAAGCATCAACATGCCCTGAGTTGGGTGCCGATATGATGAGCAAGTATATATGGTGGTGAAATGGGAGAGAAAGAGAAACAGAACACTTGGTGTACTGTGGTAAGAGGCAGTTCTGAAGAAGCAGGGCTGTGTGGGGGTGGCATCTGGGTCTGGGCTGTTGCCTACAGCCATGGGTCTACAACAGCCAGGGTCTATGTTGACATCCATGACCTACATTGCAATAAGGCCACTGGGATGCCGGGGTTGTGGGCTGCTACCTGTGGCCATTTTGGTGTCCACAGGCTGTGCAGCCACTGGGGCCATGTTGATGTGAGTGACCTGTGGTGCCACCGGGGAACATGGTATTCAGGCCTAGGCTGCTGCCGTGAGCCATGTCTGGGTCTGTGGCCCAACAGCAGCCAGGGTCTGGGCTGATGTCCACAGCTCCTGTTACCACAGGGGGTCATAGGAACCATGCGTGTTGAGATCCCAGGACCATGCTGAGCCAGCCTGTCCCTCACTGGCCTTGGGATAGCTGGCATTCTGCCCCTGCTGAACACTGCAGCAAGAGAACTGATGCTGCCTCCCCCATGGAAGAGTTGACCCCAGTACTTGGGAGAGCTGGCCCCAAAGGCACCGGCTCTGCCCCTTGCTTGAGGGGGTGGTCCCAATGGCTAGGACTGACCAGCTCAGCTACCACCCAGACCCACATTTTGGACCTTGGGTTGGCCCAGTCTAACAGCTGTCCCATCTATGACCTGCTGGAATATGCAAAGGGATTAGTCCTGCTAAAAACGATAATTGTCAAGATCACCATGACTTGGGGCAACAACAGGATATCTGGGAGGAGTTTTGGTGAGGGCTCAGTAACAATGGTATATCAGAAACAAGAGGGCTTGAACCAGACCTTGAACATTTTGCAGATGGGGCTGATTGGACAAAAGGGGTATACTGCATGACACACCACAGCTCCCAATATCACTAGGATGATTGAAGAAGTGAAGTGCTGGAAAGATGGAGGAGCAAGGTGAGTTTTTTGAGGTTTTTTTTTTTTGTTTGTTTGTTTTGTTTTTAATTAATTTTGGTTGGCACACTGCAGGGATGAGGGGCAGATATGGAGGGTCTGGGAGGTGAGTAGGATTGGGGTGCATAAATTTCCAAAGAATCAATAGAGAATTACATTAGAAAAAAATTAACTGTGCCTGAAGTACTCTTTCCAAATTTAGATGTTTAATCACGCTGATTTTTTTTCTTCTAAACCAAAGAACTCAAGGGAAACTCAACCTAAAGGACAACTGTTAAGTGAGCTCTATAGATCTGGGGCTGATTCTTGAAAATTCAATGGAAATAGTTTAGACAAAGATAGATTCAATAAGGTAGACAGAAAGAAATGAAATTCATTTCTAGAGGATAGACAAGGCCACATTGGAACTCATTATAGAAGCAGCCAATGAAGAGTTGAGAATCAATATCTGATATATAACTTAATGTACAGAGGTCACTTAATATTAACTCTTCTAACTCTTCAGCAACACACACTTGACCAAAGAATCTGGCTTGCAATTACTACTAGTTTTTAACCTTAGCTGTTTTTAATTCTTGCAAGTGTTTCTTTGGAGGCAGAAATAAATGTTAGAATAAAACTGAATGTATTGGAGGCATTTACTTGGATTAATTAGGTAATAAAAGCATTTTTAAATTGCTAATTTACTAGCAATGCTACCAGAATGCTAAATTACTTTATTTTTATTATGATGATCAAAGGAGATAAATGCAGGACTAGCCACAACCAGAAGAGAGAGTAGGCAGCAGTCACTCTTTGCATAATACTGACATTTGTCATGCTTTCCACAAAAAAGGGTATCTTCAATTTCTAAAGACTGTTTTCTTTACTTTAGGACTGTTTATCATCCATGTTGTGCTGATTTACCCAGCAACACATATAGTAAGTACTACTATACTTCTCATTAGTCACTTTAATGAATTTAATTTTGGTTTACAGTGTTAATTAAAAAGTGTGTACTTTATTCTTATAAGTATAAAACTTAAAACCAATTCTTGGTTCACTCAGGAGTAGGAGAACCAAGAGTTCAAAGCCAGGCTGAGCTATATAGCCAAATCCTGTCTCAAAACAATTATGACAGAAAAACCTCTGTTCCCAAATATCAGGTTAAATGAATGACTAAAAGCAGGGTTGAAATTTTAGTATCATGAGATTCAGATAGATTTTGATAATGGATGATCAGGAATTTTCCTATCCTGTGTAAGAAGACAAATGCTCAAAAACCATGTTATGATTGAAGGGAAATTTTGGAAGGAAAATGTAAAAAAGAAAGGAAGTTTGCCTGAAGGAGAAAGAATTAAAGAAAAAGCTACCAGATCAGATAGTCCATCATTAGAAAAATGAGAGAGAATCTTATTTTTTCTTGGCTTTAAAAATAATTTTTTTTCCAGATCTAAACATATTGTTAACCTGGAAGAAAAAGGATTCACTTTTCTATATAATTACATTTAGTAATCTCCATGAAACTGACATCTTAGAAATAAAGACAAAAATCAAATGAAATCTCTGGGGTTCCTGATCCCAAAATTATGAGCCTGTTTTAATGAAATACTTAAAATATACTTAAAAATGAGCCAATTAATATAATTACAGTGGATTTAAACAATACATATACACTGAATCTTTTTCTGTAAAACATGGCTGTTCTATTTATTTTTGTTTTTAAATGAGAAAGGTGGAATATACAATACATAAAAAATGCAACTTTTTAAAAAATCGAGCCTGTTGTCTTCTGCCATCACCCCCCTCAAAAAAAAAAAAAAAAGCCAACAGCCCAATACCAATTAGCATGGAAATCTTTAGATTGATGCCTCTGAACATTACTGCGGTTTTAACAAGGATAGCAGCATATCCTGATAATGTAACAGAAACAGGGCGCAGGCAGCAACTTGCATCCATCCCTGCCCGTTGACATGGTTATTTCTTTGCCTCCTCTCACTGGCTCACTCTACTCCACTTTATTTGACTCCCCACCCCCTCTACCCCCCTTTCCTACAAAGCAGGAGGCATTCACCCGCTAGGCGGTGGAAGGTGCCTGGCAGGGAGTGAAGCGACAGCGGAAGAACAGGGCAGAGCATGCAGTGCCCACCGCCTTGGCCGCCGGCTGAGGGCTGGAAGGTTAGGATAGCAGGGGTCGGGGCGGATCCCAGGGCCGCCCCTAGTTCTCACGGGTGCCTAGAACCGGGGAACTGCTGCAAGAGGCGCGGGCCGGGCAGCTCAGGGCTGGGCCCCCCGCAGCGAGGGGCGGGCGGCCGGGGGCGGAACGCAGCGCAGCGCGGGTGGCGGGAAAGGGGCGGAGATGAAAGGCTCGGGTTGGGCTGGTCGCTGGACCCAGTTAACAGAACCTGCAAGCCAGGTGGACGAGCGGTCCTCCAGGCTCCAGGGAAGCTCTGCCCGCTTCTCTGAGGAAGCGAGGCCGCGTGTGGGGTCCCGCGGTCTGAGGGTCGTCGCCTTCTCAAGCTGCTGGAGACAGCGCACCAGCGGGCGCACCCTGCGTTCAGGTGGGTCCCCCCCCTCCCGCCCCCCAGCAACAGTGGCTCCTTGCCCGCTTCTCGGGTCGCCGCGGCCTGGAAAGCAGGGCTGCTATGGCCATCGTGGGCAAGGACCGGCCAGGTCCCAATTGGCAGAGGAGGGTACTCGGCCCCCAGGGTGCGCGCTTGAACGCGCGCTCGAGCTAGGTGGGGGAGAGGTGCGGGAGAATTACCGCTTGTGGGATTTACTTCTTCGGGTCTCTTAGGGGCGGTCCTCACCCCGACTCCTTGGAGGAGCTGAGCTTCCATGCGGCGTCTGGGGACCGCGACCCCTTTATCCATTCGCAATCTGGGTGGTGGTTGCCTGTCCTCCAACCTTCCGGATCCCCACCCAAAAGCTACCAGGACGACCCTGCTCTCGACCTGCGGGGACTGAAGGGACTGGATGAGGGGAGACTAGTGGCAGGATTGCCGTGGAAAGGTTGGAGTTGCTAGAGTATTGTGTGCCAGCGTGTCACCACACTCGGGGGCTCCCTCCTGCTGTCCGAGCTGGGATGGGGGCTGGGGTGATGGGTGTGCGGAACTTCCCTCCGAGGGCTGGCTGCACACTATCCTCGGGCGCTCATGCACATTTGCACTGCACGAGGTCTTCATGGAGACACGTGGGAGCGGTATTAGTCTTTGGCGGGTACTCAGAAACCTTCTTTGGGATGGTCCAGGGTACAGTCGGGCTTGGGAAGGGAGAAGGTTTTTGGTCTCAATTTTCTCCTTTTTTTTTTTTTTTTTCTTGGATGAACACCCTAGGAAGGAGGAGACGAGTGAATCAAGGAGAGTTGATTTTCCAGGGTTTGCGCAGTTCCGTAAAACAAAACGAGCTTTCGAGCTTTAAAGTAAATGATGGGTAAGTGGGATGCGTCTCTGGTGTGGGCAAAGAAGTCCAGGCTTGGCCGAGTACCGAGTATGGTAGGGTCTTTTACTGTCTCGGTAAGGGATGGGCACGGGAACTGCTTCTTGTGTCTTTGGCTTAACACGTTGGAGCCTGGAAGGAGATGACCACTTGCCCTGGGAAGAGTGGCGCTCGGACGAGCTGCCCCTCTTGAGGTGCAGCAGCCGGGCAAGGCGCTTCCTCATATTTTTAAATAACTACAGAATTTCAAGGTTTATCTTTATCTTTCCCTCCGACACAAACCCTTCTCTTATCTATGGCTGCTTGGATTCTCTGGTAATTGCTTATGCATATTTTATTCCTCTGTTCCTTCTGTGACATTTTTTAAAGAAAAAAAACCATCTGTATTTTAATCAATAAGATGTAGGGAATATCTTTCAGGATTTATTTGTGTTCAAATCAGGGCCAGGGCACTATGATGAAGACAACCCACTGAAAATCTGTTTAGATTGAACTAAGCTCTGTTCAGACTGGAATTATAATTTTTAAATAGATATCTTATGATCTTGTGATAAAGTAACCTTAGCGTGGGTCCCTTATCTCTATCTGGTTAATTTATGGAATTCTTTATTCTCAAATTATCATACTGGGCAAGTTGACTTCTAATTTTAAATGGTAGGTCTCGAAATGGCTGTATAAATTATGCTGGCACGTGCTCTCTCTCCCTTTTCTCCCTCTCATCTCTCCTCCTCCCGTGTTCTCTCCTTTTCACACACACCCATCTCCCCTCTCCCTCTCTTTTTCCTCCCTAGACTAGCCTGGAACCCGGTAGGTAGCCCAAGATGGTCTCAAATGCGTGTCCATTTTCTCCTTCTCTACCTTCCCGAGGCTGGGATTAGCAGAACTCCCATCTCTTTTAATGAACTATTCAGAAGGCCATTTGGTTGATGACCTGGGACTTAGTATGTTTCGGTTGCTAATGAAGTACTTTATCGAACTATTGTGGAAGGAAATGCCTTAGGTATGTTGCATTGGAAGAAAGAAAACTTCGGTTTTTCGGAGCAAATATTTAGTCACTTTTCCTCCCGTTTTCTCCGTTAGATGCCTAGGAAAGATGCAGTGCTGATGAATAACACATGATTTATTTCTCTTTTATGTCTACAGGTGGCAGTGTCGAAGCCAAAAGCTTCCAGAAGTGGTTTTTGAAAAATAAGAGTTGAATGTACATGAGTAAGCAAACACAGGAATCCGAAAAACCACAGGTATGTAGGACAATTAATCCACCTATCCAGCTTTATAATTATTGCATTCCAGTAGTACTAACCCATTTGTTTTTATGCTAAATATTTTGACATTTCTATTGACTTTTATGAAATGAAAATACATTTTGAGGTTCTCTCAGAAAGCAAGACTAATCTAATCTATTTCAGATAGTAGGTTTAAATAAAATTATGCAGTACACCAGATTACACCAGTTTACTGTTCTAAAAGAAAAGTATTGTTTTTTCATTTTGTCCACATGGTACATTTTAAGGAGTGGTTTGATCCTTTCTTTTTAACATATTTTTCCTGAAACTTTAAATCTGCCAGCTACTCCAAGCAATTTTTTGTAAGTTACATTTCTGACTTGTCTTGTTGAGCCAATGTAAAAACTGCTGCTGTTAATTCCGTATCACATTGATCAGGCTTCCTTGTAATTCTGATCTACCTGCTTCTGCCTCCCAAGTGCTAGCATTATGGGTGTATGCAACACTACTGGTTTATGCTGGGACTTTGTGTGTGCTAGGCAAGCATTCTACCGCTTAGCCCTGCCCAGGTAGTTTCCTTTACACTAGTCTTTCTGTGTCTCATCACTTCACAATTATTACCTTGCTGCTTTTCCAGCCTACAAGTTTGTCCTTTGACTAAACTCAGGAAATGTTATATGCAATGCAGAGGCAATCAAGTTTGTAAAACTGACAGCAAAAGGATTTGGTGCTTATTATTACATTGTAAGATTTTGCATATTAAGGTCTTTAATATTCACATTATTAATGGCAGGAGCCAGGGGAGGTGGGGAAAGACATTGCCCCTCCTTTTCTTTTTTGAAAGGAAGGTGATATTACCTGTGCTGTCTGACTGTTTAGGGTCAGGCGATAAAATCTCCCTTTACAAGAAGAATGAAGGTTTCTCTCAGAGTGGGTAGATGGTGGGTGGAAAGAGTAGGTATGGGAGGGATACCACACATTTATCAAATACTGGAGTGTGATAACACTGTAACCTGCCTGGAAGAAATGAAGATACTTAAAAAGACGTGTGTTTCTCAATCTGACTATCAGACTATTGAAACAGGAATTTCCCCAGGAATCTCATGCTGTGAGAAGGAAAAGCCCTCAGCCAGAGCGGCAACTTATCTCTGGGAAAGACATTTCACACAGTTATAACAACTTGTCAGAACACCTTACAGCCAGATAATGATGGGTCTTTGTAGATGGGACCATACCTTGACTAGGACTGTTTAGATATGGAAATCCTTGGGCCTTTTAACTTTGATCTCACTTCAAGACGCTGACTGACTTGGGATACTGGATCTCTGTCTCTTTTCTCAATGTGTCCAGATTGAATACATTTTCCCTTTCTGCTTTCCATGTTCAATTTGGCTCTTTTAATTGGCTTGTTGAGGGTGAGTGGCAGGACCTCACTTGGCACAGGTGTGACCCCCCCACGATTAACACCTTATGATATATATTATATTTATAATATATCATATGTAAATAAATATACACATACATACACAGATAATTTTAGAGGTGTGTGGGAGATGCTTCTGGGAATGGAATTCAGGGCTGTTAGTGCATACTAGGCAAGGGTTCTAACACCGACCACCCCCAGTCCTACATTGATTTTTGACATTCTGACTTTATAACTGGCGGGGGGGGGGGGCAGGCATGAGATAACAACGAATTAAAAATAAAATTCCAGCCGGGCGGTGGTGGCGCACGCCTTTAATCCCAGCACTTGGGAGGCAGAGCCAGGCGGATCTCTGTGAGTTCAAGGCCAGCCTGGGCTACCAAGTGAGTTCCAGGAGAGGCGCAAAGCTACACAGAGAAACCCTGTCTCGAAAAACCAAAAACAAACAAACAAACAAACAAACAAAAAACCATGATGTTTTGAAAAATTAAAAGGACACTACTATCATGGTGGTGCATTATTTTTAATACTTGCCCTTGGGAAGCAATAGCAGATGAAATCTGTGCTATGAAGTGAAACCCTGTCTCAGACAAAAACAGAACAAAAACCCCCTGCAGGGCAGGGTATGGTGGCTCTCATCTTTAGTTCCAGCACTTGGGAGGCAGGGCCAGGTAGATCTCTGAGTTCGAGGTCAGCCTGGTACACAGACCAAGTTTCAGGACAGCCAAGACTACACAGAGAAACCCTGTCTTGAAAAACCAAAACTCAAAACCCAAAAGATTAACAGTGTCAAGTTGGACATTTGACCAGTAGAAAGCAAACAAGAGTTGTAGATTTCAAGTATAGACTAAATTAAGTAAAAAGCAAGTTATTATAAAAACCCAATAGATACAGAGTGGTTTTAGGAAAGGGAACACCGAAAAACATAGGAACAGGAAGTTTGCTCTGAGTCAGATTCATCAGAGATCTTGGGAAACTGGTAAGTCTGGGTACAACAGACTCAACTTCTAAGTCAGAAAAGGAAAAGGAGCAAGGTTGCAATTTGTTAACTTTTGGAATCAGAGATTCCCAAGTGAGAGAACTGAGGTGCTTTACAAATAATTAACCTTTGAGATATAACAAACAAGCAATAAAAGTATAAAGTGCATTAATCCAAAGTATGATTGATGCTCACTTAACGTTTTCTGTGAATATGCAGCCCGTGACAGATCAAGCCTAGTACATTTTCAGCAATTCTGGAGAATTGTTCCCCAGTCTGTTCAATATTCATCTGGACTCCATCATGAAGGTAAACTAAATTTCCATTAAAATAACAACAAAACTTAATCCAATGCTTTAATCTGGTTTTAAGATCCATAGAAATAATATCACACAATAGGAACTCTCTGGTGTATGTCTTCTTTCACAGGTTGTGTGATCAGTAGTTCCTTTGAATATACTGAGCGATAATTTACTTGCTTCCTGTTACATCTTTCGGTAGTGTCCAGGATTTGGCTAAAATGAATAAAACATATTTGAACATTATTGCTTGTGTTCTTTGCTTCACATTTCCACTCAGTTCTCCAGACATAATCTTAGGAAAGAGAGTGTTACTTATAGCATTGAGCTTCAGTAGATAGATGTCAACAGTTTTCCAAAGTGGTTGTACCAATTTAAATTCTACTGGTGGGGTATAAGAGTTCTGATTCCTCTCTACATTTTAAGCAACACTTTCTCTCTCTGTCTGTTCATTCATTCATTCATTCATTCATTTATTTTTGAGGCACGCTCTCGCTGTCTGAATTAGTTGTTGCTGAGGCTGGTCTATAATGCCTGAGCTGAAGTGATCCTCAGCTTCCCAAGTAGGAGACTATAGTTACGCATTTTTTTAGTTGAATTTTACCTATTTTTGATGAGGACATGGTGGTATTTTTTGAAGGTTTAAAAATACATGCTTTAGAATTGTGATAAAAATATATACAAGCAATTTATTATTTAAGATATTTTTTTCTGGTATATAGGTAACGACATCAACTACATTCACATTAACTATATCCCTATTATTCATCACAAGAATTATTATAAAACCAAAACTGATAAACTAATGCCTTATTCCCCAGTGCTATTATGACAACCACCATCCTCGTTTCTATCTGTGAATTTGACACTGTAGGTGGTAAATGAGTAGAATCTTACAGTGCTTTGGGCTGTTTCCTCCTCTTCCTCCTCTACAGTGCTCTGCCTTTCTTCTTCCTCCTCCTCCTTCCTCCTCTTGCTTGTTTTTCCTCCTCCTTCTTAATGGCTTAGATCACTTAGAATACTGCCTCAAGGTTTGTCCATGTGGTAACTCTCGCCATTAATATATTGTTTGTCTATGTGATTTCATGCTATCCATTCACTTGTCAGTAGACTCTTCAGTGGTGCCACCTTCTGGCTGTTGAGAATAACGCTGCTGTACACTTAAGGGTACAGATACCTCCTTAAGGCTCTGCTCTCTGCTCTTTCAGTATATACATTATACATAAAGTAGAGTGACTGGAAGAATTGTATTTTTAGTTTTTTGAGGAACTGCTATGCTGTTTGTGTTGTGTTTAGAGCATTTTACATTCCTGACAGTAATGTGAAGATTCTAATTTCTCCACAGCCTTAACCACAGCTTGTTAATTTCTGTTTCATTTCCAGTAATACCCATTCTAATTAGTGTGAGGTGATCCTTGTGGGTTTAAAAACCATTTCTTTAATTGAGTAGTGATGCTGAATGCTATAAATGTCATTGATATTTGTATATCCTTTGTGAGTGCCTGTTCAAATCTTTTGCTTTTTTTTAAGGCTTGACCTCCACTTGGTATGTAGTTCAGACTGGCTTCCAACAGTCCAACTGGTATTTCTCTTACCCCAGGCTCCCAAGTGCTGGGATTAAACATGAAGCACCATGCCCATTTCTTTACCCACTTTTGATGCCCCCTTATTTTATTGTAAGAAACATTCCTCATATGAGTCCTTTGTCAGGTGTATATATATGAGTATTTATTGGTTTGATGGTACACACCTACAATCTTATCACTCAGGTAAGATGATAGTTACTTCGAGGACAGCCTGGGCCACTAGTGAGACCTTGCTTTTCTGCCAACATGCGGTTTGCCTTTTTATTCTGTTTTTTTTTTTTTTTTTTTAGATGTCTTTTTATTCTTAACATGTCTTTTGGTATTTTTAATAAAGTGCCCTTGTTTTTTTTTTTTCATTCATTTGTTCTTTGGGTACTTCAGAGTTCTTTTTATTTTTAAATTTTATTTTTGAAACAGGGACTAACAGTCCTGCCTGGGCTGCTTCTAGCTTGAGCAGATCCTTCTGCCCTAGCTTCCTGAATGCTAGGTTTACAGACATGCACCACCATGATGGCCTTGCATTGCTTTTAAAGCATCTCATTAGCTTCGGCCACCTGTGGTAGGAGGAGCTGTTTGCCTGGGTCAGCTGGCAGACCATCAGGAAGAAATCTGTTTAGTGTTGAGGTTGCTCTACATAGCGGCAATGAGTAGAGTTCTTTAACGAACAGGTTAAAGTGAAGTGACAAGCTTGTGCCAGCACAGTGTGTTTCCCATTATTAGTCCCTGCCACACAGGCTGCACCCCCCTAAGTCTGTGGTTTTTACTGGTATCACCAGGGTCTATTTTTTTTTAATTGCTAAGGACACATGAAGATAATTTTTTTTGTAGGTGTCATCTTAAGCTAGCTATAGAGTTAAATAGACCTTTATCTAAATGCTTGAGTCCAGAAGAACTATTTGGGTTTTAGAGTACTTGTCTTTATCTAATGGGAACTGAGTTTAAGTGTGACTCATTTATATTTGTACAACTTACTCATACTGCTTGGTGGTAATTATAAACTATTTATTTTAGTATACCTATGTTTTGACTGTCATGTGAGTTCAGACATGAACTTTTTTAGATTTTGGAGAATTTCTGATTATGGATTTGGGCATTTCAAATATGTGCCTCAAGGATCAAAGCTGATATCCATTGCTGTTGTAGGTGGCATAAAGGGGATTTAAAAAGTTGTATGTATCCCCTTTCTTGGATCCATTGAATATATTTATAATCCCAGTGCTCATGAGGCAGGAACAGGAGGATTAACCCAAGTTTGGGACTAGCCTGCTCTAATATATGAGGCCCTATCTCAAAAATCAAAATAAAACAATTTAAAATGATTAGTGTTTTCTCCATGGATATAGATGTTGTCATTCATGTTCTCAATTACTGTCATTGATTCATCATTTAAGTCCTGCTTAATAGTGGGAGGAGCCCATGGGGAGGACTGATAGCTACAGGATTGAATGGGCAAAGTGGATATCTCAAGGCTTCCCTCTGTTCCCAATCACCATTAGTGATGCTTCTCTCAGGATTTTTTCATCCATTAACCTTTTGTTTTCTGCATCTTTGTCCGTTTCCTGAATGTACTGCATTCACACCTTCACTTCCGTCTTTTGAACTTTCTCTATTCCCTACATTAAGATACTCCTAAAATACCAACACTAAAGAGGCTGAGCCAGGCAGGTGAGATGTTTTAGGCCAGCCTGGGCTGTATAATGAGACCCCATCTTTTTGTTGTTGTTTTTACGTATTTCCAGATAGAGTTTCTTTGTGTAGCCCAGGCTGTCCTGGAACTTACTCTGTAGACCAGGCTAACCAGATCTAACTCAGATCCACCTGCCTTTGCCTCCTGAGTGCTGGGAATAAAAGGTGTGTGAGTCAACCACTGCCCAACTGAGACTCTATCTTTAAAACAAAACAATAAAATTCAACCAAACTATATATAACAAGATGTCCTAAGTCTTTATCTTCTAGTATCTATTTCACTACTCAGGGTCTGGATGTGGACCCTTTTCTAAGGTCCTCTTGTCTGTCTCCCAGAGGATGTGCCTTTGTAGGGAACATGAGCATTCCTTTCCAGTCTACTCTTCTTTCTTAGCCTACTTACCATGCTTCTAGGGTTATAAAGTAGTAGAGTCTTGGCATAGTTCCTGATCTTCCCACAACTTTTCTTACCTTCACAGCCCATATTTAGTTGATTGTCAAGTCTCCTGAACTTTGCTCCTGTCTCTGAAGCATCTTTCAAAGACATCTTCTCTCCCCCATGTTCACTACCCCTTGAGAATGTAGTAATTGCTTTCCAACTTGTCTACCTGAATTAGACTCTGGCTCTAATCCATCTGCAACTGTCATCATCTTTCTTATAACATCTAATTATTCCTTAGGGACAATTTGTAGCACTCAAGTCTTACAAGAGGGATTCAAATTTCACAGCAAGACATACAATGAGACCCTTCAGTGTTGGCCTTCCATCTGTTTTCCTGCTCCATCATCTGCTATTTCCTCCCTACACTCCATCTGCCCTAAACTATTTGCCACTCCTAGAACATTCCTTGAGTTCTTTCTTGTCTCTCTGTTTTAGTTATCGCTTTCTTCTACTGTGTTTTCCTTCTGCTGGGGAAGGAATTCAGATTGTATATACTAGGTAAGAGCTCTACCACTGAGCTACTTCCCAGTTCCAGTTTCCTTTTCACAATGGTGTTTGACTTAAATATGGCCTCTTTTAAGTCAAGGTCTCACCTGGAACTAGCTATGTAGCTCATCTTGGTCATGAACACATCATCTTTCTGCCTCTCCTGGGTGCTGTAATTATAGATGTGTAATACCATGCCCATTCTAATACGGCCTTTTTGGACCATTTTGTCCTCCTAAGTAGATCTTGTTAACTGCTACATCTTTGTGAGTATAGAGGAAATGACTGGAATTGCGGTTACTGTTCTGTGTTAATCTTTGTATCCCCAGTAACCACTTGAAATATTGAAGACTGAACTAATGTTTAAAAAATGAGTTGATGAAGAATTCATTCTTTATTGTCTAAGTTAGGTTTTACTGCTTAACAAACCACGAAACTACCAAGTTTAGTTAGTGACTTTTAAACCACCACACTTTAGTTATATCCTGATTTTAGCAGTAGAAAATTTGGCGAGGCCAGGAATTATTTGGAGCTGGGCATATCTTCTGATGTTCACTGGTGACTTGGGTGATTTGGAGGATGGCTCTTCTGGCCTTGACTATTCTACATGCTTTCTAGTTTGTAACCATGTAGCTTAGGCTTGTTCACACTTTGTAAGGTTGTCAGGTTATTAAGATAGTATCAAGGCATATAAGGACTCTTATACATGAGGTCTAGACGTGTAAGATTACTGTTGTCTGAATGAAGTCAGTTAGCCAAAGATAGTACTGATAAATAAGGTAGATTGCATCTTCTGACAAGGGGAACTGC